ACCTCTGATTAAACAGGAACAAGCAGAGAAACCGTTTTCTGTCTGGACACCGACAATAATATGAAAATCTAACTCAGTGTGAACATTTCGTGGTCATTTGGTTTCAGGTTTGAGCTACTTCTATAATATTTTTTACCTTTTTCACACCTGTTGGTGTTTTTTATCCATCCATCGGTTTATTTCGGTGCTTCTGTCTGAAAAACGCTCGATGAATAAATGTCATTAGAATCACCATCGTTGGAATTAAAGCTCCAGAACTCTAATAAGATTGAATTAAACCCACATTTCATCATTTTATTCTCATGAACGTCCAACAAACAAACAAACAAACATCTGACTCTCTCTCTCCTCAGTTCTCCATGACAACCAGCTGACTCACACCGACCTGAAGCCGGAGAACATCCTCTTCGTCAACTCCGACTACTCGCTGGTCTACAACTCGGAGAAGGTCAGAACCGGCCGCGGGCGCCAACACACAGTCAGGAGTTCAGCGAGCAGAACCACCGGCAGAACAACAGCCGGACCTCTGCAGTTCACACTCACATGCAGATCAGTGTGAGCAGAAGGAGATCCGCCCACATGTTCCTCCACAGGCTGGTCCAGGAGCCTCAGAGGGACGGCGGGCCAATCGCTGCTCAGAATAACCTCATATCTGTTGGTTTAAACATCTCAGCGTCGTCACAAAGAAGGCTGTTGGTGAAACAGAAGCCAGTTGATCTGTTTCAGCTCATGTTCATTCAGACAGTCGACTGCTTCTTATTCTAGAGATGTTCTTATCTAGAATGTAACTCCATGGACCGGCTCAGCCTTCAGAGCAGAGATGAAACATCAACCTGTTAACCAGACCAACAGTCGGATGGTGAAGCTCCAGTCAGTAGCTTCATATCAACTGAAATGTCTGTTTGTCTTTCTTTGCAGCAACAAAAACAACAACAACAATAATAATAATAATGATAGTTTTTATTTTGATCACTTCCTGCAACTTAAAGTGTGTCAGTGTTAAAGTACAGCAGGCTGGACGTCAGCTCTCCTCCGTGGACTTCAAGAGTCTGAAACTCTGAAGCTATCTGTACCGTGAAGGTAGAACCTTCCATGGAGTCATGAAGTAAAGTTAGTGGAGATGAAGGACCAGATGTTCAGGAGGAACTTAGTTTGGTTTCCTCTGTAGCACTTCTTGTTGTCCTTCTGTTAGTTCCTCGGCTGTAGATTCTTGGTCTCAGCGTTTTAACCACCAGGAGTAGAACTGACCCACCAGAGTCTTGGTTCTGCACTGACCCGGTCCTCTCCTGTGCAGAAGTGTAACGAGCGGCGAGTGAAGGACAGCACGGTGAGGCTGGTGGACTTCGGCAGCGCCACCTTCGACCACGAGCATCACTCCGTGGTGGTGTCCACGCGACACTACAGAGCTCCAGAGGTCATCCTGGGTAAGAACCGGACCTGATGTTTAACACGGAGCAGCTCGGTCCGACTGCTCAGAGGTTCTTCTGCAGAATGCAGCAAAACCGCAGAAACACACCTGAGACCCAGAACAACAGCCTCAGAGATCAGAGTGTGTTTGTGTCTCCTTGTGGTTGTTGTGTTTGCATTTGTTGTTTTTTTAATGTCTTTGCAGTGATTTTGACTCTTTTGTGGTAGTTTTGTGTCTCTTTATTTTGCTTCTCTTTTTGGTAGTTTAGTTGCTTTGCATTCGTATTTTGTCTGTTTTTGATTGTTTTGTGTGTCTTTGCAGTCAGTTTGCGTCTCGTAGTTGTCATTTTGTGTTTCTTTGTGGTAGTTTTGTGTCTGTTTAGGGTCGTTTTGTCTCTTTGTGGTTATTCTCTGCCTCTATAAGCTTGTTTTGTGTCTCTTTGAGGTCATTTTGTCGCTTTGCATTTTATATTTTGTCTCTTTTTAATCATTTTGTGTTTCTTTGCAGTCATTTTCTGCTTCTATAAGCTTCTTTTGTGTCCTTTTGTGGTCGTTTTGTGATGTTGTGGAGACCTGACATGCTTGTTGTGACTGTAAAGAAGTGTCTCCATTAAAGTCAGAACACCTCCCGGGTCGGTGCTGCCGGTCACAGATGTGTGTCTCCTCCTCAGAGCTGGGCTGGACTCACCCCTGTGACGTGTGGAGCATCGGCTGCATCCTGTTTGAGTACTACGAAGGCTTCACGCTGTTCCAGGTCTGGATGCACAACGATGCAGGTACGCAGAGCGCCACCTGCTGTCCGATCCTCACGCGTCCATCTGTTCACCCACAGACTCACGACAACAAGGAGCACCTGGCCATGATGGAGAGGATCCAGGGAGCGCTGCCTCAGAGGATGGTCCAGAGGAGCAGGTACCGGCCTCGCTGCTGCTGCTGCTGCTGCTGCTGGAAGCCACGGCGCTTTGATCCGACAACAGCTTCTCTTTGTCTCCTCAGGAAGCAGAAATATTTCCACCGCGGCCGTCTGGACTGGAACGAGTGCACCAAGGCTGGACGCCACGTCAGGTCCAAATGCAAACCTTTAAAGGTGAGTTCAACGTTCAGCTTCAGCCTCGAACACAGCAGGTCCAGATTGATCAGGTTCACCTGCAGTTCTGTCCTCTGGAGCGTTAGAAGCTCCGGTTCAGTCCGAAGCTGCTCCTTCGTTTCCCTTCTGTCACCGAGCTAAACGGGTTTCATCTGGTGTGAGATTCCTGGTGTGTTCATGGACTGTTTCCTGCAGGTTCTCATCATTTATCTGAAGAAAACACTTTTAGACTGTTTTCATTTCCAGTAACGTTCCTATAAAGTTAACATAATGTTTTAATGTCAACATTCAGAGAACGTTGTCGGGAACACAGGTGATGTTCCAGGATGACATGTTACAACAGATGTTCTACAGATGTTCTCCAGATGTTCTCGAGGCCTCAGATGATTTTTATAAAAGGTTCCCATTATGTGATAAATCAACAAAGGTGGAACGTTCTGCCTCTAATGTTCTATAGATTTTTTTTTAGAAAACGTTCCCAGAATGTTTGTAGTGCAACATTCTGTTTTTTAGAACACAACGGTTTAGGAACTTTCAGGAATAAATCCGGTCCGTCTCAGTGACTGTGGTTCTGTCGACTCGCTGTTCTTGCAGAAGTACCTGCTGTCACACGGGACGGAGCACCACCTGTTCTTCGACCTGCTGGAGAAGATGCTGGAGTACGAGCCGAGGAGGAGAATCTCTCTGCCTTCAGCGCTGAACCATCCCTTCTTCTTATACCAGCCGGGCCGGAACCAGAGCTGGAGGAGCAGCAGTGACGCCAGCAGATGATCCGAGCGGACCGGCGAGGTTCTAAGGTTCTGGTTGCTCGTCTACCCGTCATGGAAACGTCACACCTCAGCCAGGAGGAACCCGTCTGAAAAGAGGCTGTAAAAAGTTTGTAGGACGTTAATTAGAAAGTAAAGTTAAAGAAAAGTTCTGCCTGAAAAACGGACCTGAGGAGCAACCTGGAGCTGAAGGCCCCGCCCATCGGATTTGTGATTGGTTGGCAGAGAGGAAGTGATGCGATGCAAGCAAACGTAGCTGAGCTGCGTTTCGTTTCGTTCTAAGAAACGTGTTTTTGTGGAGACGGTCGGAGAACGAGGACTTGGAGACGACACCAGAACAGAACCGGTCTATCCTGGTCTTCCCTGATATGCAGATGTAGAACCAGCTCTGGAGCAGAGACATCTTTGTCCCCTAAGACTGGTTCTGAGAGCGACTCCACAGGTTCCACAGGTTCCTGCAGTCAGAACATGAACAAAGGTTTGAACGACTCTGAAGGTTCCTGCAGTGGGGCTGAGGTGATGAAACTTCTTTACGTGAGACTGTGACACAGAGCAGAACCTCAGGAGGCCGGTTCAAGGAAGCCACAGAATCGCTTCGGTCCGCTGGACTTTAAACCTGATTTACTCTGAACAGTTTCCAGGTCCTCCTCTGTTTCTTGTTCATTCCTGTTTTGCACCAAGATGATTAACGAGCAGATGTTGGCTGGAATTAAAACCCACCTGATGTTCACTGTGAAATTCAAACAAGTTTTAATCGAATTTAAAGCAAACTGACCTCAGATCAGGAGCCTTCATCATGAACTACATGCTTGTAAAAAATCACAAATAAGCCCATATTTACAATATATGTTTTCTCAGTGATGTTCTGAGAACCGTTTATAAACTCCAGAACTCTGATTGGATCAGAGCTTCTACCAGTGTTTCAGGTTTTGTTGCTCAGTCAGTTCTGGAAGTTTAGCAGAACCAACCGTGTTTTGAGAATATTTCATGTCTGGTTCTGTGTTACTGTGACCTGTAGCTACATGTGGGTCAGAACACATCACGAGCTCACTTCTGCTTTATCGGGTCTTTGTTAATGAGCTTAAATATGATGACTGCTGTCCAACATGACAGATTCTGGATCAGCGACATGATGACAAACAACAGATCTCAGATCCAGAGTCAACCTGCTGGACGTGGATCATGTTTAAGACTTTTTTTGATCTGATCATTTTCGATCTAAAATTTCACAAATATTTTCATAAATAGCCTCAATTTATTCAATAACAACTTCAGCCAAATCAGAGCCGGTCAAGCAGAAGTTCTACCGCTGTGCTGATCTGAGGTCAGTTCTGTAGTAAATAGACACGATGAGTCCTTTAAGACCGACAGTAGATCAAATCTGCTAAATAGAGAAATGAAAATCTTTCAAACGTGTCTCTGAACTTTAGAGGATATATTCTGTAGATGCAGAAACTGGACCTGTGTGGTTCTGAGCTGTCAAAAAGTCATTTGTGTGTTTTTTGTAATAAATTTTGTATGAACCGACGTATGTGTGGCCTCTGAGTCCATCAGCGTCCGTCCTCATGTCAGCGCCTGGCAGCTTGATCGAGTGCAGCTCTGCAGGAACGAGGCTGAAGACCGGCCCGGTTTCCAGCCAGAACCGGGTCTGTGTGTGTGAATGAACCAGGAGTCACTGCTGAGGTGTGTTTGAGGAAATGAGGAGTTTCAGCTTCATCCTTGGAAACGCTGAATGATGCTGATAAACCAAAACACGACACAGACGTTCTGTATGTTTGGAGGCTTCTGGACCGTTCTTTGGTCTCAGTCGGGTTTCCTGCTGGTTGTCCTGCTCAGACAAGTTTTACTTTTACCAACAAAGAGGAAGAAGAAAATCTGCAGCACCAAAATAAGCTTAAATCCAAACGGGTTTTGTTAGATGGACTTGTATTCCCTGGAGCATCACCGACTGTTCTGTGATCAGACAGAAACACCAAAAAAATGCAGACTTCTGTCAAATAACTGTTTAGATTGGGAAACCTGAATTAATATGATACTATAGAGACATTTTTATGTGCTTGGAGACGTTTAAACTTTGTTTTCTCTCAAAAAACAGACTGAATTAAAGCCGCAAGCGGCGATGGACGGGTCCTCGCCCTACGCTTGT